TCTACGATTAAGAACATCAACTGAATTTAAACCTGGCCATTCTGTAAGTCTGTGATATTGGATAAAATTTTCAAATTACAATTTTTTCATCTACATGTAGATTAATGCATTTTTTATTGCAGTATGGTCATTTTTTCCCAGATCCGCAATATGAAAATGTTCAGCACATCATTTGTTGTGACTCTTATGCCACATATGCTTATGACTTTGAGTTTGAGAACAACGTTGGATTTTCAAGGTACTAATACATCCGACTACTATCATGGCATGGTACTTACAGGCTTGAAAGCTTGCAAACTTTCAAAATGCTCATTCAAGTGATATAAAATCTTGCATTAATAATTTGCCTAAATTGCAAACTTAAGTCTATGATGTGATATTAATGTGATGTTAGCGGGATTTAGGTGATTTTAGATGCCCTTTTTGGCCTATAAATTGCATGCCAGAGAAAACTTATGAAAGATAAAAGCTGAATATTTGCCTTAAATTACACACTTCAGTCTATGACGTGATATTAGTTCTGCACCCTCTTGCCATTTTAATTGACTGCTCAAGTTATAGGACGTAAGAGAACGTAATGCTTTCTCTAGATACATTTCTTGTTCTGATTAAGGTCTATTGTCACTTTTTGACAGGCATGCATCAGAAGTTCCTACACTTCAGATTGCATTTCAGTACACAGTAGTGGTTCCTCCTGAAGAACTTTCCAGTTCAGGAACGGCCTCTACTAGTAGGTGTGGTAAATCCAGCATAGAATATGTTTTCTTTTGTTGTTTACATCTCCTATTGAAATGAATTGATGTTTTTCATGCTATCTAAAATAGGCGTAGTCCAATTAAATCTTGTAGCCAAGTCATTTTCTTAGTTTGTTCTTGTGATTAAAACAGTTATGTATCTTCTGAGTTTGTACCTTATTCCTTGAAGCTTTAGTTTATCCTCCAAGGCTTTCAAATATTTATCAATTACCAAGATCTTATCAAACGGAGATGTTGAAGTTTACAGTCTAGCTGACAGGGATAGTTGATGGACATTTTGCCTATTTTGTCGTTTCTATAAAATCTGCTAGTTGAATATGTTGAAAATGGAACTTCTGACAATTCATAATATAATCTTATCTCTTTTCTGGCTTCGTTGAATCTCCACACACACGCAACTGCACAATACACACACATCATTAGGTGAACATAATCAATAAGTCGGTTTTTTTTTTTTTTGGGTCGGAATCAAAGACTCTGCATTTTGAACATTTTGAAGGAAGTTGAAATGAATGTGTTGGGATACTATGAAGGAAAGATATCGTGTCATCTCTCACTTCCTAGGATTCATGAGATCATTAGTGTTATATATGTAAAGCCGTATATAATATTCAGTGGATGGTTGTAACTTCTTATCCATTCTTTTTTGATCATAAATCTGATAGAACTTTCTATTATTCAACACAAAATTGCGCAATAGATTTGCAGTGTTCAGTATCAAATCGTGATTAACAGATTAGTTGGCGTGCTTTTTCACTTGGGAGATCTTCATAAGTTGTAGCTTCATTCCATGATATACCCTTTCCAAAATGTTTATTCCTTTCTCTTTTTTGATGCTTTTGTTTGGGCAGCATATCCTGTGTTCCTTCATTGCTCATAGTTAAGCTTTCAGTCCTCCTTTTCTACCACTGTCTGTAAATAATTTTCTTTCTGCAAGATGGATTTCAGCATGTGTTGGCAATTGATGCAGGACCAAGCATTCCCTTAAACGTCGACTCAGGATCCGGACTTTGCAGTTCAATGCTGCTCAGAACATGGATGAACTTTATGATGGTGTTGATTCTGAAGTTGTGCTATCTTTGCTTGTTCACAAGGTGAATTTTAACTTACCCAACTCTCTTGCCCTTTGATTAACACTTACAGCCCCCTTCCCACTTTCTTGAAAAGCTAAGTTGTGCGAACTTTGCTTGTTCACAAGGTGAACTTTTTACTTAACCAACTTCCTCGTCCTTTCCCACCCCAAAAGAATGAACCAAAGTTCCCCTCCCCCAAGTTAATATTGTGTATTTGATAATTTCTCAAATTGTTTTCCATCTATCTACAAACTGTTTTCAGTAATAATAAGTGGTCTTCCTTGTTTCTTCTACTGTTTAAATATATGATTCCCCTTGTCTTCTTGGGCTTGAATCAGTAGAATAGATCTATAAAAAATAATTGTATGGGCATAGTTAAAAGAAAAGACAACTAGATTATTAATTATTCCTCAACTCTGGCACTGAGCAAGCAAGCTACGTGGGACATTGTATCAATAATGTTCCCGTGCTTGTTTTGTACCCTTGAGAAACAAATCTTAATCAGACCAATATTTTTACAATGGATACAATTATTCTGCAGGTCATATTAGCTTCTTTGAAGGAAGGAGTTCGAGAGGGCAGGATGTTACTTCAAGACTGGCTTGTGCTCCTTACAGCCCAGTACAATGATGCTTATAAACTTGTTCAGTATGGGACTGGAAGCTCCGTAAGTTCTCAGATTGATGTTTCGTTCTCCCAATGTCCACAACTGCAGCCTCTTCCCCGCCTAATTTTTGCTCTTCTTCGTAATCCTCTTCTCCGCTTTCATGAGGAAGGCGTTCATCCAGACTACCGAATCTATCTGCAATGTCTCTTCAGGTAGTCAATTCTCACAAATCTATTTGAACAGTGAAAATTGCAAAATCATACCATAAATGTCTGGATGATGGGAGACGAATGCATCTGCAATGTTAGAAATAGTGCTTGACCTCTATTTTGATAATTGTCCATTTATATGTAGTGAAAAGTATATTTCTTTTTAGAAATAACACAAAATAACAGTTTTGCTCACAGTCAGTCTTTTTTTTTTGGTGATGTAGTGCTCTGGAACCAAGTTCCCTTCACCGAGCTGTGTATCCAGTGTTGAGTTCATATACTACTCCAGATAAACAAGCATACCCACGCCATTCCTTGAGTCGTGCCGCACTAATTACTAGTGGCAGCCCAATATTTTTCCTTGATGCGTTCACAACTCTGATTGTATTTTACTCTTCAACTGCAGATCCATCACTTCCTTTCCCTCCCCCCCATGATTGTAAGCCTTCTTTTGCTATTCAAGTTGATCGAAATATAAGTCAATGATTCTGCCTAATCTATCTTGTGTAATCCCTTGTTAGGTTTGTTAAGGAATACAATCAATAAGTTGAAGCAAGAGAGATGCATCACTCCCAAGCTCATATTTATACGAGGTGGACAGGATGATGCCTCAATTTTTGAGAACTTTCTGATCGAGGAACAGGATGTTGATGGAAGCGGTCTCGCAAGTGTAATGGGTTTTGTTTCCTTCCTTGAAGGAATTACGCGTGATGTGTTAGAATACATGAAATAGAGCTCTTTCCGCAATATATAGTGGCTGATCATGAGTGCAAGAAATATTTCCCCCTAGGCAGCTTTCATTTTTGCCAGGATGGAATTTAGCCGTTGTATCTGTTTCTATCAGCCCAAAAGTCCCTTTCAAATGGCATAGATGATAGTTGCTGTAAATTATGATATATCTTCATCTTTTTGTTCTCAGAGAGTAATGTTTTCGGACCGAGAATCCATTTTGAAGGGCACACCAATAAGACCAGACATGCCAGTGCCTCATTCGCTTTTGTTGATCTTGTATACATTTAATTTGCTTTTATTAAATCGATGTCCAAAAAATGAATTTATTTTAAATAATCCGAATGTTTAATAACAACATAAAAACGAAATTAACAGTTAATTAATTTTATATTTTTTTTGAAATTTAATAAGCTCCAATTTAAATCTGAGGGCAACTCGTGCTAAAAGAAGAAAACTATACAAGCAAGCAAAATCAGCTGCCTTTGCATAAGCCAGAAGGAGTGTTTGAGAAGCCTCATGCCTAATTAAAAAAATATTTTTACATAAGCTGAGACAATACTTACAGTGAAAAGCCATTCCAATTTTCATGGGGTGTTTAAGTGTTTAACTAACCTAAAAGGCATTTTTAAAAAGTAATTTTATGTAAATCGAGATAAATTTTTTTTTACATACTTATTTCATATATTATAAAATTATTTTTAAAATTATGATTTGTTTCCATCTAAATATCTCTTAAATACTGAAAAATGAATGCTAATGGCGTTTATAACTTCCCAGGCTATTGTGCATTTCATTTACCGTCATTCATTCTCTGCTTTTTATTTATTTATTTTTTTCCGGCAGCCGCATCAAAATTTTCTGTGGGGGCTGAAGACACCTGGATTGTACAGATCCATTATTGTGCTTATCAGTTTATCTAACATCTCGACGCGTTGAATCTAGAGACAACGTCACCCATCGCTACTAATTTGAAAAAAATTAATAAAACTAAAAAATTATTTAATTAAAGTATATATATTACATATTTTTTAAAAATATTTATAAATATTATTAGATTATATATCAGTTTATAAATTTAAAAAATTATTTAAAAAACAATATATATAATATTTTAAAATAATTTATTTAATTTTTGTAATTCTTCCGAACTTGATTATATCAAGGATAAGTAATAATAATAATAGTGTTAATATAATAGTGTATAGGGAAAATTACACTCAGATCCCATAGAAGATAATTAATTTCAAAAAATCTCTAAAAATCCCGAAATGATTCCTAAATCTCCAGGGACCTGTGTGTAATTAATTGTAATTGTGAAATTACCTATTTGTCCCCATCAATTTGAACCCAATGTAATTCATTTACAACCTCAATAGGGGCTGTTGACAACCCGAGGAGAGGTGGTTAACAACCTCGGCAATGCCCCTAGTATCTTACAGAGTGAGTTGTCAGGAACACTGCCAATGTTGTCAACTACTTCTTCTCGGGTTGTCAACAGCCACTGTTGAGGTCATAAGTGAGACCTGAATTTAATTTTCCCTAGTGTATACTGTAGAGAAGGGGATCGAGTTGTGATTCCAACGCTTTCCATGCTAAAGCCTCGAACTTTCCCAGGGCGTCATCATTGCATATCCTCCCGCCGCTATTGATTGTTGACCACCGACCAAACTCCCTCTCTTATTCGTGATTGCGTTCGTAATTTAGCAAACTCCTTCGAGGTCAAGATCCCAGAACCGCCACAGATATCTGTGTTTCTTTCGGGAACGGAAATTAAATTCCTCCGATGTCTTCCTACGGCAGATACAGTTCTCAATCCTATGCTCCATCCGCTCCATCCCTTCCTGAGGAGCCCTCTTATAATAATGCTCCTACGACTAGCGAGGTGCGTCCTAGTTACTACCCCGCACAAGGTCACGGACAGACCACAGCTTCTCCAAGTTATCATCAACATGGGGGTGGTTACCAGCAAAGTTCATCTGCCCCTTCAAATTATCCCTATGGCAGTAGTTATGGACAAGGTTCGGCCAACACTACTTATGCGAACTACTATCAGGGGAGCGGTTATGGACAAGTTTCGTCGTCGTCCGGGTATCCTAGTTTTCCTCCAGGGACGCACCCTGATGTAATAAGGAGCTTTCAGGCGGTCGATAGGGATCGAAGTGGGTTTATTGAAGAGAGAGAGTTGCAGCAAGCTCTATCTTCTGGGTTTCAGAAATTTGATCTTCGGACTATTCGTTTTCTTATGTTCCTTTTCAAGAATCCTAATGACCCTCTCGGAATTGGTAAGTTCTGCGCAGTCCTTTTCCTTCCCTCTCTTGCCGATTAAATTTTACTTGAAATAAGTAGATTAGGAGACTAGAATATCTGATTTAGGGGGTTTAGGGTATTCAGGTTGATATTGAATCTAGTTTTTTCCGCATGTAATCATGGTGTTGCTTGAAAAGGTCTTTTCCTTTCCTGTCTTTATCCGTTGTCAGGCTGCTCTGGTTTTCCTTTATTGTGAATTAGAATCTTTGACTTTTATTGAGGAGTTATTCGATATGTTGATGCCAGCTGCTTTTGCTGTTACAGGGCCCAAAGAATTTGCAGCTCTCTGGAGTTGCCTTGGTGATTGGCGAGTGAGTTTCATTTTAATTGTTCAACTACTTGCTTGAGATAAATAATTATGTTCTTGTGTTGTTACCTTATCTTCTTTGTTAACTGCTGTTCTTGTTGTTTTGGTGGTGTATAGACATGGACTAAATAAATATTTGTGAATCTCAGTATAAAGTATACAATCTGCATTCGCCTTTCTCCTTATGCTTTGACCAGCCTTCATCTAAGAGCATCCAGCCATCCATGCCTAAGCTTATTGAAAGTTGTCTGCTTTGCTTTCAACTTGTGTAAAATTTTATTTAGAATGAAACAACGTCGCGAATATCTCCAATCCTGAGCTTCATTCTCTTGCATCTTAGGGAAGACACTTAAATGCATCAGCTAAAATGATCTTCTGGAACTTGGTATCCTCATCCTGTATGAAGTACATGTAGAATTGTAGATTATACTATTTCATCTGTATTGTGTGACTAGTTTCAATCATCTTTACCTTAACTACTGCGAATTGGCATGGTTTTCTGCATGCCTTGAGCTTTGGAGAATTTTAACGCAAAGTTTGAAGTTTGTGTTTTACATCAGAACTTCACTGCATAGATTCCTGTTAATGCCTCTGATCTTGTTTTGCTACATTGGCAGGCCATATTTGAGAGATATGATAGAGATCGGAGTGGGAAAATTGACCCATTAGAACTAAGAGATGCACTATATGGTATTGGCTATGCAGTACCAGCTTCAGTTCTTCAACTCCTGCTTTCCAAATACGGTAGTGGAAGTGGTGGAAGAGTTGAACTTGGATTCGACAGTTTTGTTGAGTAAGGCCCATGGATCTTTGAAGTGATTTTGTCTTTGCTCTTATTTCCTTCGGGAGATCTTATATATCGTTGTATGTCTGGTGTTTTATTACTGCATGTGCAGGTGCGGGATGATTATCAAGGTGAAATTTAAAGCTCTCCAAGTTCTGGATATGCCCTCTGCTTCTGTTTGTTCTTTCTGTTCTATATTCTGCTCTAGCCGTTGTAATAGGCATATTTTGCTTCTGTTTTTCAAATCTGGCTGGAATATTTCTGGGCAATGGCTTTTTCAATTCAGTTGTTTTTAAGTTTCCTCCTTCCCCTCAATCCATTCCCCCCCCCCCCCCCCCCAAAAAAAAAACACCAGAAAAGGGGAGAAATTTAGTGGCTTACATAACAAGAACTAAACAAGAAGGAAGGTGTTATAGCTTTAAGTCTAGAAAAGCATGGTTGCTCATGCATCCACAAATTAATGAATTATAGATTTTCATGAAGTTCAAAATTACACGTCAGAACTGTTATAATCATGAATCTCATGGGGAAGAACACTCTGGAGGACTAGATATTGTAGGGTTTCACTAGTTGGGTTACTGGTCAATGAGTTCACATTGCTAGAACTAGTGTTATTTCTCTTATATAAATATGCTTTTAGTTATAAGCTAACGTGTTGAAATTTTCAGGGCCTGACTGACAAATTTAAGGAGAAGGATACGCGTTATACTGGTTCAGCGACACTTTCATATGACGCCTTCATGTCTATGGTTATTCCTTTCCTCGTGTCATATGATTGAGAAGCTGTGGCGATATTCATTTCAAGGATTTATTTGTTTTTGGTGTTACCTTCAATTCTTTGATTCATGAATTTCCTTGACTATAAACGTTTGAGGGTGTAATAATTTTCCATACTTTTGTGTAATAAGCTTCATGTAAATATTATGCTAAAGCGGATATGCAGATATGAATAATAAATACTGGTTTATGTTTATGTATCGTTATTCCCTAGTCCCTGCATGGGCCAGCACTGCAAGTGGTGTTGTTTTCTTCTTTGTCTATTGCTGATTTGACTTTCAAATGAGAGATATGGCATTGAATTAAGAGAGTACATGTCTTCAATAATAGCAGCTAGGGGGGCTCTTTTGTGCATGGTAGATCCTTTGAGAATAGGTAGCACTGGGCTGTATATTTTATATTTAAGACGTTGGTTTTATTTTGATTGGAAAGTGGAAATGAAGATAAATGATTTATTTATTTGGTACATAAACTTAAGAGACTTTCTAATAAGCTGCTCAACACTCTCAGCTTCAAAGCACAATTTTATTCATTAACGAAATATCATCATACGAAGCTTACTATGTACAATGACAACTAGAAATTTATTTAAACAAACTGACTATATACAATATCAGAGATGAAGGTTAAAAAGAAAAAAGAGGATAAATATGAAGAGGGATGATTAATCGGTATTTATACATGTATTGTTGAAATGTGAGGTGTGAGAAAAAGTTTATAAGATATGGGGGTGTTTGGGTACATATAGAAGTGTTTTTAAAAAGTATTTTTTTGTAAAACAAGACAAATCTTTTCACATATTTACTTCGTATACTATAAAAGTACTTTTAAAATTATGACTTGGTTTCTATCCAAACACCCTAATATTTGGGCTTAAAGAATATATAAATAAATGTGAAAGAAGATGTAAACTTATAATGAGATTTTTGAGTTTTGATGTGTTGGTTCAAACTTTTTTTTTTTTGGGGTCAAAAGATTCAAACTCTTTTTTCCCCATTTGTATTTTTCTCCCATGTATATGAACTTTTTTCTTCTTGATCTCGAAATTCAACTGATAAATAATACATGAAATCTCATCATAAATTAAATTATTCTGTTTACTGATAACTTTTTAATATTTTTATTAGAATAAAAAAGAAACCTTAAAACCCATTAACCTTATCTAAAAACTAAATGAGTTTCCTTATTTGCCCATACAAAATACATCATTAAAAATGTTTCTTACCTTCCTGCATTAACATTAAAAAGGAAAAAACTGATTATGCATTAACATCGAATACGGATAAAGGAAAAAATTGTAATAAATAGTCAATATGATACCTTATGAAAAAAAAATTACAAAACTCCTCCCCTAGTACCTTAGAAGGATACGAGGGAGCATGTGACTGCAAATCACATAACATATATCCGTAGTCAATATATTCCCAGATAGAAAGATCGATGGGTGAAAATAAAAAGAGCCATAAGTCCAAAAGCCGTTGATGCTTTCTGTTTAATTCTGCGTGCAATTATATGAAGATTCCACTACTTTGCGTGCAATACATCTCTCAAATTATTAGACTTATCTTCATCTCCAAGCCACTCCTCTTTAGTCTTTATGCTCACCCTCCATTTGACCATATTATATACTTGTTGTTTGCTATGTGTTTTGTGTTGGTGTGGCTAATATGAGATTCACTAAAGAGCATGGGGTCGCATCCAAGTTTAATTTTTTTGACCAGCACATCGAAGTTTGATGCAAATATGAATACCAGAAGCATAACCATGAATTCGACCTTTTTTTTTTTTTTTTAAAGGAAACTTTACAAAAGACATAGTATTAAAAACATCGAATCCAACCTTTTAGACGTTAAATGAAGTATAAACAAGAAAGTGCATTTTATATTTTTTTTTTAATAGAAGCACATAAATAATGCAATAATCATCATTGAACGAGGGAAAGTGAGATAGATGGCTTGTTTTTTTGGGACCATTTTTTACGTGGAAAGCAAGATGTAATCAAGCCAACAGCCATGTGAAAGGGAAAAAAAAAAAATCTTTGTTGGTAGATGCAGGCCACCTTCATTATGGAGAGGATTAATTTATTCATTATATGTAGAATATCTCAAAATTAATTTTGACGTGTTTATTTCGTCACCTAACTACAGTACATCCTCTTTTTTTTTTTTTTAATGTTAGTACACTATATTCTAGCATGTATGAACACAATGCTCTTCGATCTTGATAAAACCACTCAAATAAGGAAGGAAACAAAAGACATGTTTGCGTGTTAATTTTGATGATTATTATGGCTTACTATTATCGCGTGATGAATAATGATAAGACAAAAAAGGTCCTTGTCCCCTGTCATCGTTGCTTGCACGACTAGTTTTTTTTTTTTTTATCACTTCTCTCATTTATAAAAATGACGTTATATAGAAGTTGGCTTCATTGTGGATGTTAATAAATCAATTTTATGTACGTAATTACATATTATCTCTTTAATCATATGTTGATGACCATTCAATTTTCCAATATAGTATAAGTTTGCACGCGGCATTGTTTCAAATGATTAAAGACTAATAACTCAACAGAATAATCACTCTTTACAAAATGCACACAACAAGTATCTCAATCACATCACATTTGAAAAGCCAACAAATTCTTTCCACCTCCACACGAAAACACTACCAAATCAATGTTACAATCAACTAACGGTAATAATGTTTAATTTCTAACTATCTGTGAGAAACTAGAAAGGAACAAAAAAAAAAAGAGGGCAAAAAAGGAAAGAAGAGGATATATATGATCTATAAAACTATTACTGACTTTCTATAAAAGAATCACATCACTACCACTAATTACTAAAATATCCCCATCTTTCTTGGCTTTCTCATGTTATTAAATATGATAATTAAAGCGTAAGAATAATAGTGAGGGGTTGAGGCGTTGAGCTATGGGATCTGCGAATGACAAGAATGAAGGAAGACGAGGCAATTATTTGGTTATGGTGGCGAAGCTGTCAACTTGCAAGCGAAGCATCTATGCCAACCAAGAAAAAAAGTTGTGTTGCTTTTGGTCTACCTGCAAAATAAATAAATAAATAAATAAAGAAAATCCATCCAAATGAATTTAATTCAGCAACATATATAATAAAAAAATAAAATAAAGCAAGATATTCCCACAAAATAATAATTAGCCTCATTGATTGACAATAGCCCCCCACCTTCCTTATCAATAGTAGCCTTTCTTCATAACAGGAATATCTCTTTAAATCGTTAAATCCTTTGTCAAAACTGGCCACCCAGATCCCACATGCACCTTACACACACACTTGCATCATGCGTGTGTGTATATATGCAGTAGGTTTAAGTTGCTTTCTTTCTTTCTTTATCATTTAATTTGATCAGGTACTCAGCAAATTGCAGCACAAGTAGTATTAAAATAAGCTCACATATCAAGTGGATTTTTTCCTTAAACATCTATATCATCATATTGACACAAATATTTTGCAATAAAATTCTATTTATTTATGATTTAACATTACACCATTGACTGGTTTTGAAAGGTCTAAAAAAGCATGCAGTTGTTTTGGAGTTTGTATGTGCAAAATAGGGTGAGAGATCACGGGAAAGGAATAAAGGGACTGATCTTTTAATGCACCAAAAGGCGTGTGAAGGCATGAAGCAGCTAACTAGTTGGCAACTAAAGGGACACTATTTGACCTTAAAAAAAAAAAAAATGATCAAGTGGATGAATGTATTCTTTCGTCAACCTTATCCTAGGTGGGGCCATGATGAGGTCACAGAGTTTTGTGACTCTCGTGTGTCATCTTTTTGAATTTCTCCCCCCTGATTTTTTTAATCAGGTTCATGTTCTGGATTTCCAAAACCATGTTCCTTCATACCAAGATGTTTCCTTCTACATTCAGATGCTCACAAGTAGGACTACGAGGTTGCACAAATTCCTCGTGATATATGTGGCCGTGAAATTCAAAAAGACAAATTAACCAAAGAGAGTAGCAGAGAAGATACTCGTAGCAGCTTGATATACGTGGCTGTGAAATGGTATGGGGAATTAGCGATGTAATGTGAAAAGGAGTCATCAATGCACTGTAGCCTAGTCACAGGAAACTTCCCTGTAACTGGGAGGTCGCAAGGTCGATCTCATTTATAATCTTAGGTTGTCCCTTTAGTTCATAAGATTGCTGTTAACTGGTACGATGATCACGGGGATGTATGACAAACAGAGAAGGAGGCTGAAGATAAGGTTGAGAAGGAGAGACAAAACACTGTGAGGTTTTGAAACCCTGAAGATCTGGCAAAGAGATCCTGACGACATATTTCTCATCTGATGCAATACTCTTTTGGACTTTTGTACTGCTTAAGACAAGGGGGATTTATTCACTGGCATGCCTTATTACATGTGGGATGATGAGGAAGATGGAGACCCATTACCAAATTTTGCTTTTATATATATATATATATATATATATATAAAACGTCCACTTAGTGCAAGCATGAAATGGACAGCATTTGACAGTTTTTGCTTTATTAGATACCATTGAGCAATAAGCACAACCTTTGCACACCATGGTTCCAAAAACTTTCCCATCATTTGATTTCACGATGAACTCATGGAAAATTGAATATATATAGTGGCAGGAAAAACGCTTTCCCTTTTGCTTCTTATACTCTACTTTTCTCCTATACACTTTCCATTCCTTATTTCTGTTTTGCATGATCATTAGCTCATTTGATATTATTATTCATTCCCGAAAATTTCATTTGTTTCTCCTATTTATGATATGCAAAAAGTAAAATTTTTTTCCCCGGAACAAATGCAGGAATGGAGGATCAAGTTTACTGACCTTATATGGCTTCCTCTTGCAAAATGAATCCTCTGTTTACCTTGATCTCTTCCTACTTGTGATCAAGACCTTGAAATCTCAAAAACAAAAACTAAACATGTAATGACATAGACAAGAAAGCCCACGAACAAGCCCTGCAGAACAACACAGAAAACCAGAAAACCTGAGAAATGAAAAAAATATAGAGAATAATAGATTTAATGTCTTTGATTTCAATGTATGTCCACTTACGTTGGACTTGGATACAGATTGAACTACCATCTCTGGTAAACGACCTTGTAATCCAGCATCATAAACAGGAGTACCATCAGGATAATAGAGACCGTAGTTTCTCTCGGAAGTAGGACCAGGTTTCATGTTTTCGTTGAAAAGTGCAAACACATAGATATCAATAGGAACCGAAGGTTTCGCTGGAGTCCCTTGTCTCATCTCCATCCTCTTCAACAAATTCCCGTTGTACAACATTGCATTTTCAAGTGAAGCCCCTACTTCATCAGGATCACCCTTAGAAGGCCAACCTGTCTCAGAAATCTTAACCTCAATGTCACTGTGACCCAATGCTTTGATGGCTGCGTACACAGCATCAATCTGAGCATAAAGCATGTTATCGTAGTGAAGATTCGTCTTTGGATCAACCATTCCTGCGTTTGGCTGAAACAATACGTAGTCTAATGAAATCTCATTGGGGCTTCCCTTGTACGCAAAAAATGGATATGTGTTAATCAGAAAAGGGGATTTCACTTGAGCATGAAAACTCAAAAGGGGCTGGATATATGGAATCAAATCTGCTCTAAAAGCTCCAGAGGAAGGAGGGTAAGAATTGGATAAAATATTGAAAGAATGAGCACTGGTGACAGCAACTTTTTGATCCAACCCAAGATTGACAAGGGCATGGTACACTGTTTGCATTGCGGGGGCGAGGTTTTGGTTTAGTTGTGTGTCGTTGTTGGTGAAAACCTCGTTTCCAACGACAATGGTGGTGATTTTGGTCTGTGAGAGGTATGGTTGCACATTTTGTTGAATCCAGGATTGTGCTTGTGATACGTCTTTCATGTTCTCCAGATCCCCGTTTCCTAGTCCAATGACGAATTCGACATCGGAATTGGAGAAGGCAACCAGAACGTTTGGATCGGCATCGTAGAGTTTGATTCTACTGACGTTGAGGGACTTTAAGAGACCAGCCACGCGAGAAGGAGATGGGAGATTGTTGGCTATTTGGCCGTAGTTTATTCCAAACTCTGAGCCTCGAATTTGCAGACAAATATCTGGAAAAACAGAGTACAAAGCAGATTCAGAATAATGAGAAACGTCTTACAGCAGTTTCAATAAGGATTTCATAATAAACAATTACTAAAAAACTGCAACCAGTGGAAATCTAAATTAACTGTGAGAACAGAGTGAGACACGTCATAAGATAGATGTAAGTTAGTCTTCGAAATGTCTAATGAAGTGAGTTACTTTCAAATGAAGCTAATGAAGATTGAGAATGAAGATTGAGGGGAAAACTATGCATAAATGAAGATGACATGTAGATTATTTGGCATAGAATTGGATTTCCATAACAAAAGAAGAAGATGAAGATCGTTCTAGGAAGCAATTCACAAAATGAGAAAGAGAAATTCAAAGCGAATTGCTGAGAAAACACATTGCAGCTGGAAGTTGTATCAGAGAGAAAATATGAAGTACATGGAATTTAGGAGGAAAATCTTGATGGAGGAATGGGAGGAAGTAGATAACGAACCAGGAAGGGTGAGAAGCAGGAATATGGCAATGATGGAGGAGGAAGAAGCAGAGAACATGGATGTGATGTTGGCCATGGCTTTCAAAATGAGAAGAGGAGAAGAGCAACCAAAATTTTCCAGAAAACGCGTGTCTTCATGGAATATATAGAAATAGAGGGAGGAACAGAGCAGAGAGTGAGACGAGAAGCTCTGTTTTTTCTGTAGTTGAAACTGGTTTCCTCTGTTTTACTTGTGAAATCTGCAGGCTCAAGCTTTTTATTTTATTCATTTAATATTTAGAGTTATATATATTTATGGTGATTATTTGTTGGAGAATTAATTTATAGAATTATAGGCGGTGGGGGATTAATAATTAATAATGAATAGTATTATAAAGAGAGAAAAAATCGGAGGATTTTCTCAAGCAGCAGACGCGTTTCAGATCAAACTCGTCCTCTTCCTCAGTATAGCCCAGCTCAAATTACCGACATGGCCGTTCTTAAATTACTATATTGTCCCTCCCATGCTTAATTGTTTCGTGCTAAGAATAACAAATACTAATAAATAAAATGTGAACGCGTCAAAATTTTTAATGTGTAATCAATTGTAATCTTCAGAAATATATATATTATTTTTAATGTGTAATAATTGTGGACAAATTTTAATTTTTTGTTGACACGCCTCTTTGATATTTTTGAATCCAAAACTGTCTAAATTTTAAGTTTTTGTTGACACGCCTCTTTGATATTTTTGAATCCAAAACTGTCTACCTCTACCAATTGGGAAAATTTAAGAAGTAAATGCAATTTATCTTTTTTTAATTTAGGGCATAAACAATAAAAAATGCTTATTAAAGAAAACAAAGCAAATAATTTAGACTTCGAGATATCATTATTTAAATTTATACTTAGATGAAAAATATTTATTTCTTAAAATTAAAATAAAATTTTATTAGTATTATTAGTTAGTAATTAGCATGATTTTATTTATATTTATATGGGCTTTGTGAACATTAAAAAAGAAGGCGGCACAATTTTTGTGAAAATAAATAGGAAAAATCTTTAAAAACATAGCTCCAAAATTTCAAAATTTCAAATCAAAAATCAATACAAAAATATATTATCATTTACTTTTTAGATGTTGTTATTAGGATTTTTTTAAAAAAAAATTCTTTAAAACATTTTGCCTGAAAAAGTATGCATAATTTTTTTTTAAAAAAAAAAAATAATTCGAAGCCTTGGAGACAGCGAGCTGCCGCGATCCTACAAAAAGCCTGAAAAAGAGATTTGTTTTTGTGAAAATAATTAGTTTGGGAAAATCCCTATAAAAAGGCTAAATTTTTAATATTTAGGTAATCACAAATGATTGGATCGTGATCAAATATATAATAAGAGAGAATTAACAAAAGAAAAAAAAAGAAAGAAAGCGGTATTAATAATAAGAAAAGGAATGTAAGCAAAGCAGCCACACGACCTGCCCATTAATATCTCCTCTTATTATTTTTATTATTTATTTCAAAAAAGGGCCCGCTTTTTTTTTTTTTTAATACAGCTATATGTTATGATCTCACAATCCCTATTTATCAATATTATCTCTGGTATCTATTTATTTTTGGGAGCGTGCTCCTCTCATTTTATCTCATATGGCGTGATTCTACATTTTCTGACCAATTCTAGCATTTAATTTATGTATCAATCCATTTGACGCAAATAATAATTAAACAACATGAAATAAAATAAAATTATAATTAACGTGCGAGTTCTCTCTCTCATGTATTCTGTCCGTGAATCACAGGTGATAATACTATATGATACTGACCCACAATATGATAATGTAAACCATTATCTCATTCTTTTAGTTTAATAATAACGTTTTATTGCCACATTTTACTGAAAACAATCATTAACAATAATATATTTAGGACCACACTTTTTTATTTAATATTAAAAAAATTGATTTTCACACAAAAACATCGCCTTCTTCATATTCCGAATTTAATTCAATTAATAACATGAGAAATTGATGAGCCGTTCAAGCATCATTCGTAATCCACAAGTGGGAATCCAACTTTTTTATTTTATTCTTTTTTTGGAAAAGAAGACAGCAAATCAATATGATCAACAGTTATAATTCTAATTCCTTTTGATTATAATAGTGATTATATCATAATGACCATATCGATTGACTCAGGCGTTAGGTTCAAGCAATCCCTCTGCAGTTAAGAGCGTCAACATCAAACCAGATAGATACACATAATAACAAAAAGTGGTCGTAAAACACATAAGAGAAAGTTAATTTAGAGGTAATAAGGTCAATAATTTGATTCCTTTTAAACACTTTAACACAAGCACATAGAGATGGCTTGGGAAACTAAATAAAAATATTTCACGAATATATTTTTCTCAATACAAAAGAAGTCAGAGTTTGGAATTGTCACGTAAGGAGAAAATGCAACCTGTGTTCAAATTAGGCGAGTCGTGTAAGGCTGAAGATAGAATTTGATTCCAATACCTGGAATTCAAAAGCAATAAAATTATTATTAATCTCATTTCATTTGACCCCATGGCAACACCGGAGCCGTCACGTTTCAACTACATCCAATGGGCTCCTTATAGGCGAAATATTTTCAATATTTGATCCACGACCAATGCTATGATCACTAAATGAACATTTGAATTGGCTGGCTTGTAACGTTGATATATAATATTCCTCCGATCTTAAATACTCCTCCAGTCCTTAATATAAGACCCATTTAACTAATTTGATTAGATTAAGGAAGTTAGGTAAGTTAGTTAATTATAAGAAATGTGACACGTTTCTTTTTAAAATACCATAATCATCTTTCTTAATACCTCATCTTCCTCTTCTACTTGATTATCGTTGAGAGAGTATCTATAGGGGTAATTTAGAGAAAATTGATAAATATGAGAAATAGGTCTTATATTTAGGACTAAAACCAACTCAACAATTAGGTTCTATATTAAGAACAGAAGGAGTATAAGACTTTTTTTGTATTTAAAACCGGAGGAGGATTAAAAGTGATGTTAGTTAATCTTAATAAACCCATTGTGAAAAGAGGAAATCTTTTGTATGAGGGCCAAGCTAATGGGCACATGAATGTATTGGTGTGTAGGGTTTTCTAAAACTTTTGGATTTATAGTGAGTGGGGCTTATACACAAATGTCCAAAGGGGAGAGAGGAAACGGGAAAAAGTGGATATTGCTTAGGAACCAAAAGAAAGGGAGGGACCAAATTTGTATGGTTGCACCGTCCACCGGAAGCGTGTGCGCTTCACAAACAAAGACGCATCATTTCTCTCAAAATCCACCTTTTGATTTGGCACGTAGTAATCATGGATGAAAAGATAGATCCGCGCCCACGCTGTGCAAAAATCCTTAGGCGGTGTTTGGTCGGAGCGTTATTGGGGAGGGCTGGTGTCTCTATTGTACTGCATGATGTGAGGCCTTCCTCCATTCCTTGCCGCCATGCTTTATCACTAATTATTAATTTAATTACACCTTGGTTAGCTCCCACCAACCTTTGTTGTTACCTACCTCACCAAACATTATCCCAAAACCGAGTTGACCCTAACACATTGTTATACTCCTCTTTTCATCATGTTTCTGTTAATTATAGAAATTTATAGTGCTAAACATACAGTAAAATTGGTCTATTGATTGTACAAATGTCTTGATGCGCTTTGAATCTTTATGTGGGATCCATTTTGGAGAATGTAGCATTGTCATTTGTACTTTTGTAAACGCAATGTTTTTAACGTAAAACTCATCTAATTTAATTATATTGATAAAGTTAGATAAATTAGTTAATTATAAAAAATGTTATATATTTTTCCTACAACATCATAATCATTTTCCTTAATATCCTTTCTTTTTTTTCTACCTGATTATGGTTGACGCATTACAAATATAAGTAATTTAAAAAATAATAATAAATATGAGAAATAGATTTTACATTTAAAACTAAAATCAATTTAACAATTAGGTTTTAAAAGAAAGAGTATGTTTTCTTCTCATTTGAGATCGCACAATCAATCTCTATTTCCTGGCATGCCTTCTGATTAGAAACCCTGCCTATTCTCCGTATTCAGGCCCAATCAATGCCAACAACATTCTCAATATAACATTGAGAGTAAAATATCAACATTGGCTCATATACCAATTTGACCGCGGTCTAGCTTTTCTATATTCCCAAGGAAGGTAATTTCTATCAGCACCTAATTTACAAGAGCATATTTCGACTTCACGTTTCTGTTTTCCGGCTGAACAATACCGTATCAATAACGACTCCCGATGAACAGATTTCGAAAGCCATTTATTGGGACGCGATACTAGCTCAAACTGGGTCAGGCTTGTTCGAAATTTTCTAACATCTAAAACTAAAAGTGACATTCGTTCAATATCGGTCATTCAGAAAGCAACACCATCTCAATGAAATAATGCCTAGCGAAAAAGCTTACCATATTAAAATCACAATGGTTCCTAGCACCAACAGAGGCATAATCCATCAAATCCTAAATTACTGGCAACCCCATAACGTTCATTTTAAACAACTTGATAACAACCATTGACTGTGCACGGAACAAAACAACGACAGGAAAATAGGAAAGAACAAGTTCAGTTGGCCTCAAGGTCTCCTTAAAATCCTGACTTTACTCCTGACAGCTCCATTTTACTGGTCTCAGTAGAGATCAGTTTCCTTGTGAGTGTGAATTACACAATCTGAAGTTGGGTAGGAGACACAGGTTAGAACATACCCATCCTTCATTTGATTGTCATCAAGGAATGAGCCATCCGACTGATCCACAGAACCAGATACTATCTTCCCAGCACAGGTAGAGCATGCTCCAGCTCGGCATGAATAAGGGAGCTCAATTCCAGCATTTTCTGCAGCATCTAGGATGTAGGAATCATCAGGGGCCTCAAACTCATTCTCTTGTCCTTCAGGACCAATCAACTTAATCTTGTAGGCAGCCATGGTAGTTGTCCTAAACGAGAGTGATGACTTCAAGCCAAGTGTTTTGGGAACACACCTCACAAATTCAACTGAGGATGGGCACTTAACTACGGCACTGGTGAGTTGGTTTTGGCATGAAACTCGGAACTCACAATTTGGGGAAAACTTCACACTTGACAAGGTTGACATGATTACTCTGACAAGGTCAACAAAAAGGCATCAAGAGAGGATGTCATATACAATGGAAAAGAGCCAATAATAAAAAGTGAGAGTTGGATTCAGACAACTGCATATAAGACTAAAATTGCTGGACAAATACCCTCATTCTTAACACCTTGATTAGAATGTAAAGTATGTTAAAGATTGCGAAGAATAACATTTCAAGTAACACAAAACTGCTGATTTAATACATCACAAGCCATGGCACATTTCAGAAACATCAAACAACTCATTCATGGGATACCGTGCTATTCATTTACACCATAGAGCCCGGCACGGTCCATACAGACAAAGATTAAACAAACAAGAGAAACTATTACTGTTCTCTGAACTGAGTCCTTCGTAACTGAATTCCTTAAGACTGCATTTCCCTTTCTTACAGAACATTCAGCAAAGGACTCAAGCTACCACCGATCTCATCACCTCCTTGACCAGGTCTAACTAGGTGAAACTCTAATCCACTGTATTGAAGTCAAATCTTGGCCGAATGAAAGGTATTCTGGGAAACAAATTGCCCACAACCTAATAAGATTTGAATGAGAAAAGGAGAGGTATCCATTTCAACATTGCTCGTAGCCTAAAGCTAGATAAGTAATGGAGTTCAGTCCAAACAACTTGCCTGCACAATCATAGTTCAGAAATATATGCCTTTAAAATTTGCAAATAATGGAACTGTTTCCATTCCTTGTTCGGTTAAGAACGTTGGTTTATCAAGCACTATGGAGAGAAGCAAACTAATAGCTCTGCTCTTCACAAGAGGCTCCACTTTTATTCATTTCTATAACATCCTCGCAATATGGTCTTGCTCTATCCTCACAAATGACTATGAAGCAAGGAAGGAACCGCATAAGCTTAAAATTGAAAAAAGTAAACATGTAAGCATATGCAATTATAATACATCCAATGTACTTTCCCATGATCAAATTAAGAACAGAGCCAGTAACTATGGCTGTTGCACTGCATTTCAAGAAAGAATAAATAGAGTTAAAGTCAGCACAGAATACAAGTATCTTTCATTTTATGAAAAATCTCCCACATCACTAAACTTCTCCTTCCTTTGTGGCAGTTTTCAAAAGGCACCGCATGATGGATAGATTGGACAAGAGACTCAAACATAGAAACATTGCCATCGACATCACTGTATGAGCTCCCATTTGGTAATGATTGTCTTTCCCCATCCTCTTGTTTTAGAGTGAAATATCAGAAATAACTAATATTTATGACAAAAATAACTTAAAAGCACCGTGGAGTTGGTTATAAATGAGTAAGAAACAGTGATTTGGTCATCATAAGGAGAAAAATCTTCAGTAACTCTGTTACTTATCCACACCACGCTGACATGTTATGGAGGATGTATATCATATAACTATCGAACTCGGTGAGCATGGCTGAACAAAGCTCAAAAAGGACTCAGATGACTCCAATAGAAAAACTTTTTAACACTTCCCCTGATTTCCCACCCCCCAACCCAAAAAAAAAAAAAGACAGACACGAACACCAGCTCCGCCGTCTTACTACTCGTTAGTAGCCATCACATAAATGACTCTGGGGAATAATTTTTGATTAGATGCGCATTACTACTTACAACTAAGCTATAACATTATTTTCGGAGCGTAAGGGGGGAACCATTAGAAAGGACTTAATTTGTCGGACAAATGAAACTGATCAATAAACAAAACAACCACCAAGCAATAAAGTTCCAACCACGCTAAACAAATCACTCAGCACACATAAATATCGAGAACATGCAGCAAACTTTAGAAATCCAGAGATTAAAATCATAATCATAATCATAATTTATAGACAGGGAGCAATCTTCACTGCATGAAAATAAAGCATCGGGAAAGAAGAAAAAAGGAGGAGGGAAGAGGAAATCTAGAGCCGAAAACAGGATCTAGGAGTTCTAGGTGGTGATAAAAGCAAACGGCGCACACCGGACCTAAGCCAGGTAAAAAGCAAGAATACAAGCAACTAGAGAAATATATAAAATTCCATGATAATGGCAGAGAAGGACAGAGAATGAAAAGGCTTACAGAGAAAGTGTTGGTGACGCAGGAGTGGAGGCAAGAGCGGAGAGAACGATGAGGAATCACGACAAGAGTACAGTGTATGAAGCGAGGAACCCTTGTTTATTTATCGATAGAGAGAGGGTTGGGTTGGTAGACGTAGTCAAACATCGAAAAGGATCCGAATGAGGATCCATTTTCATCCAACGCAAGATCCACCAAATCGCCCATCGTTTTCTTCTCTCCCCTTTTGTCCCTCTCACTCATTCATCTCCCGGCCATAATTTCTCTTCTTTACCTGTCTTTCTTTTCTTTTTCTTTTCGTTTTTTTAAGGAACTAATGCCTGGTTGCTTTAGAAGGCAAAAGCCTTATCATGCAAATTAATACTACTTCCGGTCCTTATTATAAGACTCCATTTGATTTTTTGTTTGATTCTAATTATAAGACCTCAATCCATTTTGTCTCTCATATTTATGCATTTTTTTCTAAAATAATCCTTCTAATAATAATAGTTCTAGCCAATATACTTAATTAGCAAGGATATTTTAGGAATGACAACACTTATTTATTACAAATAACTAACTTAACTTACTTCCTTAATCTTCTCAAATAAATCAACTGGGTCTTATAATTAGGACCGGAGGTAGTATAAAACCTTTTTTTACCCGCTTGTTTCATGCTATCTCTGCTTCTAATTATAAGAGTCAGTTGACTAATTTAGAAAAATTAAGAAAGTAAGTTGAGTTAGTTATTTGTCATAAATAAGTGTTGTCTTTCCTAAAATATCCTTACTAATCAAGTGTATTGACTAGAACTATCATTGTCAGAAGGGCTACTTTGAAAAAAAAATGTATAAATATGAGAGACAAAATGGATTGGGGTCTTATATTTAGGATCAAAATAAAAGTCAAACAAGATCTTATATTAAAGATAGGAGGTAGTATATCATAAAATTATTTTAAAATTATGATATAATTTTTATCTAAACACTCATTATATTATAAAGAAATAATTTTGCAATATATGAAAAAAAAGAGTTAAGGTACATCTAACACTTCGAATTATTTTCTCAGTACATCTAGTACTCTAGAATATTTTGCGATATATCTAACATCCTGAGATATTTTTTAAATACATTCAACACCCTGAAGTATTTTTTTTGTCTGGGTGTTAGATGTACAAAAAAATATTTTTAGATGTTTGACTCATTAAAAAAATACTTTGAGGTAATGAATGTACTAAAAAATATTTCACATGAACACACCTAAAAAAATATTTTAAAATGTTACATGTGTTTGAGAAAATATTTGAGGGTACAACTTGACCCCCCAAAAAAAAAATTCTGTTTCGTAAAAGATAAAATTACTAATTTTAATATTTTTTTTTTCCTTCACTTCAAGTCCGCTACATACCCACACCTCACGCATGCACCCACTCTAATTCTAGTTGTGGAACCCATGACCTCTTCTTAAGAAGAGGTGTGATGTGCCGTATAATTAAGAGATTTTTTTATCATAATTTATATTAACCCAGACTATTGACAAAAAAAAACCCAGACTATAAAATATGTAAAAGCATATTATTTTAGCACTTAAAACTGTATACTTATCTTAAATCGTTTCACCTCATCTTAGATTTTAATTTTATATAGAGTAGGAATCACGACTATGAAATATTACAGGGTATATATAGAATCATACTACTTCCGATCCTAATTATAAGAGTTAGATAACTAATTTGAGAAAATTAAGGAAAGAAATTAAGTTAGTTATTTGTAATAAATATGTGTTGTTTTTCCTAAAATATCCTTGCTAATTAAGTGTGTTAGTTAGAATTATAATTATTAGAAGGATTACATTGGAAAAAAATATATAAATATAAAAGACAAAATGGATTGAGGTTTTATATTTAGGACCAAAATAAAAGTCAAACAAGATCTTATATTAAGGACCGGAGGAAGTATTATTCATAATATGAACTGCTCACTTTGTCTAAAATTTTATATAAAGTAAGGGAAATATGGTCATTGAAAATCATTTAAAATAAAAAGGAAAGCAATACTGTATAAATAGAAAAAAGATTAGGTCTAGCTTCTATTTACAATTTTTTGCATTCAGTAACCACTTTGAGTCAATGGCTTATCATTGTAAATAATAAATTTAAATTCACCCACCCGCCCACACGCATATGTTGTCAAAGTCTTCCATTCAACCATAGAAAATACATAATTTTTATATGAGTAGAAATTGCAGGCAGGAGATCATTAAAAATTAAAAAATAAAATAAAATAATATCTTTCGCTTAAAAACTTAAAAGAAGGTGGGGCAGGTATTTTCATTATTATTGATTCTTATTCTTGTTGGTTCTTATTCAAATATCCAACTTGCCCATGTTTTTCCAGCCCTCATCAATAGTCAATGCGTACTCTCCATTTATGATTCCAATTAAGCCATTGCTTTAGATTTGACGATGCTAATTAATACTACCTCTGGTCTTTAATATAAGACCTTGTTTATTTTTTATTTTAATTTTAAATATAAAATCTCAATCTACTTTATCTCTAATATTTATGTTTTTTTTTCCCAAGATAGTCATTCTCACAGGTCACAATGGTAATTCTAACCAATACACTTGATTAGTAATGATATTTTATAAAAGACAACATCTATTTATGACAAATAACTAACTTAATTTTTTTTTAATCTCTTCAAATTAATCAACTAACTCTTATAATTAGGACCGGAGATAGTATCATATCTATGGTTCTCCCTTGTATCGTTCATTGACTTCCCTGTTTTAAAGCTTCAACGTCAGAGCCGCCCTCCCTCAACTTGAGTCTCTGACCTTATGCCTTTTAAATCATAGTCTTATTATTATTTTATTTTTACTTATCACTATCAATTTGATTTGCTCAAAAATTCATATGACTTTTATTTAAAAAGTCATATTCCCGTGGAAAAATATGAGAGTAGAAAATAGTTAATTTTATATTTTAAAAATAGCACAGAATTTTAAAAATAAATCATCAACGACATCAATAAAAAGTACACCAAAAAACTATTTATCTATCTAATACAATCACTAATAGAGTAAATATTCAAGCATTAATATTACTTTTCCTAATAAAAGGCTAACCAATGTTAAAAAAAAACTGTTATAATGCAAAATAACACTTCACATGGCAAAACAATGAAATGCTAGATATATATATATATATTGGATATATTTTTTATACCTTCCTTCTCTCTAAAATCAAAGAATCCATTTTTATTTACTATCCATTTCCCATCCCTCGCTAATCTCTAGTATGTTTTTGTAGATATGATTCTTGACATCCTAGTTTGATATGCTATGCCTTATCTTAATTGTTGTTTGGAAATTGTCTATTTCTCAATCATAAATTCCTTATCCTGCTAGCTTTATTATTCTTGCTCTTAACTGGTTTATTGATTTGATAAGGGCTGTTTCCTGTGTTGCGAGCTTGTGGGCGTAGTACTGTCATGATGTGAATGTGAACCTAATTCTTCGTATATTACTCTTGATTTCGGTGATTGATGAATTCTCACATGGGTCTTGTTTGGAAATATGTTGAAGGATATGTGCATGTGTAAGAAATTAATGCCTTCACATGGCAATTCACATGCATTTTCGTTGCACTTACAAATTCTTAGTTTCTTCTCCTCCCACTTAACGACTCTTTTTTATCTTCCATGTCTTGTATCAATCATTTAGCACCTTCTATACCATCCTTTTCTGTCTTAAAAACTTAATATTATCCTCAACATTTGATAACTCATTATTTTGAATATTTTGAGTGATTTTTGGAGAGTTATCAATAGAATTTTGGATGATTTAAAAGGGATTTGAAAAACAAAAATTCGTTGTGAGCATTATTTGGGGGATTTATTATAAATATCTTAGTTTGATATAAATAAAAATAATTAATATTAGGTTTAAGATTTAGTTGATTTTATCTTATCTTATTTTAATTTCCTATAGTTTATTTCCTTTCCTTTTATTTTATTTTTCAGCTTTTCCTTTTTATTTGTTTTATTTTATTTTTCTCCCTTCCATCAGCTTACACGTGCTGCACGAGAGGAGCATGGGGGGCAGAGGTCAACACACTGTTTGGAGGATGAAGTTTTGGGAATTCCACAGATCAAGACGGCCGCGTTTAGGGAGAGACCACTTTGGGGGGGAGACCTGGAGATCGCTGTTCATTATCGGGTGTGTTTGGATTGGCGGTGGAGAAGTAACTTTTTTTTCAATCTGACTTTTCCAAAAGTCAGATTGAGTAAAAGTCAGATTGGGTAATGTGATTTATGTTTGGATTGAGTTTTAGAAAAAAGTCAGTTTGAGAAGCTGAAAGTTGTTTGGATGATAAATGTAAAAGTAAGTTTGAATGTAAAATGACTTAAAAGGACATGAATTCTTAAATGTGACTATTTGTCATAAATAAAGTAATGAAAATAAAATTATTAAAAATAAGGAAATTTAATTTATTGTTATAAAGAAATTATATATATAATGTGACTATTTTAAAAGAAGTATTGAAAAAATTTTTATTAAAAATAAAAAAAATTAAGTTATTACTAGAAGGAAATTGAAAAATAATAAAAAACTTAATTAAATATATGTAATGGATAAATATGTAAATTAGAGGTCATACATACGTAGCATTTTTAAACTAAATACATCAAATAACTAATTGGATGCCATGCTCAATACAATTTGGTCTCTGATTGTGTCACGCACATGATTCATTTGTCTTGATCTAGGTAAATTTGAAGAGGATGTCTCACCAGCTTCATCATGATTGTCTTCGTCAATTGTACCTTCAGATTGAGCTTCTATGAAATCTTTATCAGTTTCAGAATTTCTTCGGAGGAAATTATGTATAGCCATTGTAGCACAAACTACTTGGACTTGAGTTTTATACTTGTAACTTGGCATCTTCTCTAAGATGCGAAACTTATTCTTCCACACCCCGAAAGTCCTTTCTATAGTGCACCTCAAACTTGAATGGTAGTAATTGAAGACTTCGTTATAATTTTCAAATCCCGGTTGTCGCCTGAAGTCTGGAAGGTGATAGCGCTCACATCTGTACGGACCAAGATATCCTGGTGGAGTTGGATAGCCAGCATCGACCAAATAATACTTCCCTAATAAATCATGAAATTATGTTGACATT